ATCCTGTTGCTTTTAATTTATTTATCAGTTCAAATGAACAGCCTGATTTAAAGAGTCAGACCAAAGTGCCACCCAACTACTTGCAGACAAAGAGGGCCTTAACCAGAAAGGGATGAAGCCTTAAAACAGATCTCAAATAAAGCATGGAGAGCCTCAGAGGCACAGAAGGCAGAAGCTCAGATCCAGGAGAAACACTGACCCCAACTCCAGGGCTGGTGAGGAAAGCAGCATGCTCAATGGGCTCCTCTGTGAGTACTGCACCTGTTTGCCACCAGCCTCGGAGTTGTTGGGGGTCTTCCCTGGATCCTGATGTGAGCCACCAAAGTGTTGACCTTAAACAAATAGACAGCCGGTTATTTCTCCAGCAAAAACTGGTTTATTCAGGATCAGCAAAGAATTGCAGTTCAGGCAGTTCAAAACCATAGCAAGAACGTGCAAGTGCCCCAGCAGCAAGGGCTGTTGTAAACAGAGGAATTGAGAGCTGATGTGTAGCAGCTTCTCATTGGCTGAGCTGTGACAGTCTCTCATTGGCTGAGCTTCCTGCCGGTCAGGAAGAGGAAGTCTTTCTTCTTGCTCTCGGGCTCTGCTATCATCCCAGGGCAAGAGAGCTCCCCATTTTGGCCTCGTGACTCCAATTTAATGATATTTCTATTTATTAATTTGACTGTAATATAAAAATGGGAGTACTGTGTCAATGGAGAAATGAAACCAAACTGTCAACCGGTTATTTTGTCTTTTACGCACAATTGCCTTATAGCCAATTAGGTATGCAGGGAAAATGTTTGCAGCGAAAATTCTTGTGGCGAAGATGTCTACAGCAAAGATGCTTACTGCGAACATGTCGGACATGGTGTTAAGTAGAATGACTTGCCTGAGAGGCTTTGTGAAGGGAAAGGGGGAGATGACACACTTCGGTAGCTTTTCAGGAGCAGCGCTATGGAAATTAAGTTCTGGCGTGGTGTAAATCCTGGCACAGCTGCTTCAGTCTGTGTGGTCTGGGCAGGTTGTGTTCTCTCCCAGAAGTACTTTCCTGTTTGTGAGATGTGACTAACATCAGTAGCTACCTCGTAGAGTTACTCTGAGGATTAGATGAGATAATACACAGAAAGTGCTTAGAATATTGCCTGCTTAGTAAAGTAAGTTCTCATTAAAGTTAACATTATTGTTATTTTTCCCTTACGTAATGCCTTCCTTCATTTTGTTCCACCAAGGGGAGTTTTTATCAACTTCTTCCTCTTGCTCCTAATCTGGATTTGCTCCATGTCATTTTTGGGAACTCTTTGCTACCAAATGTTCTTCAAGTTAACTGTTTCCATTCTGAAAAAACTTCTTTATATCCTAACTTTCTTATTGACATATAGATCTAAAAACAGTTCATCTGAATCTGTAAAAATGAGGCACACAATCAAGAAAACATTTTAAAAAACAGTATGACTTGACTTGCCTGGATTGTAATTTCCTTAAGAGCAAGGGTGTCGTACTTTGTGTTCCCTTTCATTTATGCATGACTGATTTACACATGTCACTGACTTCTCAGGGACTGCCCTCTTCCCCCAGGCATTTAGAAATGTTGGGGGGCGGGGTGCACTGTGACAGGGGTGTAACTGGTATTTCGTGTCCTGGAGGCCAGTGTTGGTTAAATGTCCTGTAATTCAGAGAGATCTTTGTATAGCAACTAATTGTGTCACTCAAAATGCCAGTAGTCTCCCATGGAGAAATACTGACATACACAATTTATTCTTTTTTGTTTCACTGAGCAAATATATATTGATTGCCTTCTAAAGGTTGTGTGCTGAAATGTAATTTGATAGGTCTAACTCTGGAAATACACGCTACAGCCTCCTAACAATATGAAAAGAGTGATACCACTGGTATCACTCTGTGACTTTCCCAACTGTACCCAAAGTGGAATTAGTATCATTTGCTTCTCAAATTAACCACCACCACTTTTACATTAAAAACGTGTATTAAAATGCTCATGCCTTTAGCCCTATTCTGGAAACTAAAAAAAGTGAAACAAATAGACATAATTTATATACCCTTGGAAATCTACTCTTCCTGTGTCTGTGGACTTCATATGAACTTACAGTAAAGATGACTGATATTACCCGTATTGCCTGTATAGCTCAGACTGTTAAATGTGATTTCACATTTAACCATGAAAAAAATAGAAAATTGATATAATGTTTTCCTATAGGAGAAAAAAGTTCTTCTCTTCTAAAATATTTATTTATCTAATATGTGTGTATATGTGTATGTATGTATATATGTATTTTGATAGTAAAAACAGAAGTAGTTTTAATCCTTTTCAAAGCAAGCGTCATTTTATAGTTGCCTTCTTTCAAAGTAGTTTACTAAAATTTCACTAGGTGGCAGTAGCATTCTGCTTCCACAGGTATGTGATTGCTATGAGTAGTAGTGTGTTTTCCAGCTAAATGTATGTTCTGAGATTTCTGAGACATTTCTTCTGATCTTCATGTTTTATCTAAATAGGTATCTTTGAAGAACGTGTTCGTGTTCAGTCTCGGTGTGTACTCAGGAGACAGGAGGCCAGTGCGCACCTGCCCGTCTGTTCTAGAGCTGGGGTCATGTGGCTCCCGTTGCTGAACTGAAGTAGACAACCTTTAAATGTCATGTTATACTTGGCCAAATGTCATCTTATGACCATATAACTATTCAATTTCCTTTCTCTTTGTTATCCTTCAATTTTGAATATTTGGGGCCTTTCTGACCATTTGGATGAGTTTCACAAAATATGCTTTTCTTTTAGAATGGAGACCTACATACTTAAGTAGCAAGAGTTACAAGATTTTCATTTCTTTTCATCCATACTCTCCATAGTTGACGTCAAGTCTTATGATTTTCCATGGAATGAACAATAAAATAGTGAAATTCAGATACTAAATAATGATAATGTCTGGCATTTATTGACGCTTTCTGTGTGCCAGGCATTGTCCCAAATGGATTGTCTCACTTTTTTTTTCCACAACAACTCTGTTGAGTAAGTATTATATTCATCTTCATTGTACAGATAAGAACATTGAGGCATAGAGAGGTTAAATAACTTGACCGAGATTACAAAAATATTTTAATTCTGAGACCTACACTCTTAAGCCATACTTTACTTTTACAACCCAGAAATTTAGATAGACCTTCTTTTCCTCCAATTCACCCACGGACAATGAAGTGAAAATTCAGTGTTCTTTTCTAATGCAAGCTTTAGGTATTTCCTGTGAGGTATACGCTCTTGATTTTAAGGTAACAAAGTTCTAGGAAAGGAACAGGAGAGGTGAAAAATAACGCTTCTGTTCCTACATTCCTCCAGAAGACCTTGAGTGTGGGGTTAATTATAAAGTTAGGTAGCAAGCCTAAGTTGTTATATTTTACATCTGGGGCATAATATAGTAGAGCACAACTATTGCTGTTGTGTAAATGGAATACTGGGTTTGACAACCTCTCCAAAGCATCTTCCAGTTCCATAATTCTATGATTCTAAGAATTTTGTCATTCAGAACTCTGAAAGAGACAGCATCTGATCCACTTAGTAATTTCAGGGGAGTGTTTTTTTAATGCCAGCTGCAGTATTATCTATTAGTAACTGTTAATAAATATTAAAAAATGCTGCCTCAAGCATGTCGATCATTCACAAAAAGCTCCTTACTAGTAACATGTGGTACAATTATGAGCCACCATTCATTAGAGAGTAATTTCTGAAAGCATGATGCAGTGTCTGCAGTGAAGAGCAAAGACCAGAGCTGTTTAGTAACTCTGAATTCAATGCCAAGAATGTGTAAATATTTCATCTTTTTATCCCCAGATAGTAAATTATGTACTCTTGGAGGCATTAATTCCTTCAAACCTGTGGACTTCACTGAATGCACTGAAGCAAGAATTCTAAATGAGCATCCTGGTCTGAAATTTAACTTCAGCTTCTAGAAGCTCCCAGCATTCCCACAGAAACAGCTCTCACATGAGAGAATTGGGCTTAGAGATCTTGATTGTCTCACACTGTAAATAGCGCATAAATTCTCAAATGTGCCATCATGGGGGGAGGGGGCAAAAGTATCCTGAGACTTGTCAGATTCCCCTTTATTTTCTAAATGAGGCATCATAGGTAGTGTCATTGCACTAAACCAGGAGCAGGTTTAGAGCTCAGTTTCAGGGATTTTCATGGAATATATACTCATCTGTTTTCAGTGTATAGAGGAGTGTTTCTCTACTCTTTTCATGTCTTGTTCCATCTTTAGATTTGCTGTGAGTAAACTTGGATTGAGGGATGAAAGTGAGAAACTTTGTGCTGACTACAGAGTAAAGATTTGGCCTAATTAGATATAAATGAATAGAAAGGAAGATAGAAAAAGTAAGGGAAAGAATGAGGGGGAAAGAAAAGTTTTGATGTAACTGAACATGTTCTGAATTAGAGGCCAGGGTACAGAGGTGGAAAAAGAGTCACACCAGCCTTCCCTCCGCTTGGTTTAGGATCATTTGATGCCAGTGACATTGTTTCTAGAACAGGGAGGGGTAAAACCGAGGCAGAGGCAGCTGGTTGGATTTTTCACGAGCACAGTAGCTATGCTGACACACCTGTGAGGCATCTGCCCCTCAGAGCTCCTGCTGCACCTGGTACACCCTGGGCTTGCCTGGTCCCGGGTCTCATTAGACCCCTTTTCTACGCTTTTCCAGAAATGGAAATCGCCCAAACTGTCCCCACCACAGTGATGTGGAAAAGTTTGGTTTTGTGGTTTGAGCATTGCTGTAACCAGTAGCAGAGGCAGGGCCAGTATCCTCGGAGAATTTGGTCCCTAAAGCCTCCCTCGAAGAACTCAGTCATAGCTTTGGACTTGCCACTGCATGGATGGGGTGCATTTCACTTCTCCTTTGAGTTTCACTGTGCCGCCTTTTGTCACTAACTTCAATGCCTTTGATTAGCCACGGTGAAGGTCTCCCTCCTAAATTCCACAGCAGAATGATCAAAACTCTGTTTCCATCTGAATTTCCAGAAGGAAGATACAGCCAGCTGACCATAGCTGGGCCTTGAACCTACAGTGCGGTGTATTTTGGGAGGTTACTCAAGATGGAAAACCAGTATTTCAAATACAAGCCAGTTTCCTGAAGGAGGTTCAAGAATTGGTACCAAAGAGACCAGATGTAAACCCAGAATTCAAGGTGTGAGAGCCAAGAGTCAGGAATGCAAGAAAATTTGATTGAAGTGAGAGCAGTCGAGAACAGTTGAAGATGGTCCGGATAGAATGATGTCCAAGAATACTATTGATTGTCTGTGGCCAGCAGGAGGAGGTATGTAGGTGTGTTAACATTAACAGTTCCAGGCCATTCAGTTCAAATTAGAGACTGTGCTAGACAAGCTATGGAGAGCATAAGAGGGAGGCTGGGGAGAGGTGGAGAGGTTGGGGGAACTTTGATCTTTTGAGTGCTCTGATTCTGTTGTTCTTCCGTTGCATTCCACAGACCTAGATTAAATGCTTTGCAATATAAAATAATGTCTAATAAGACAAATAAAATTTTTGATGTTGTCCCTCCAGTTTATTACTTTATTACTTTGCTCCAAGACAAAGAAGCCGAATAGAGAAACGTGTGTACCTAATTTCATTAATAAAGAAAAATTCTTCATGGATTTAGATTCCAGGGGAAAATCAATGTTTTCAGTAGCTGTACCTAAAGGTCTGTACCACAAGATGGTGCTCATCCATTAAAGTCATGCTGTTTTTCAAGAAGTTGCCCCTCAATGGTCTAAATTTTTTAATCTAAAACATGAGATGTTATTTATGTATTTACTTTTCTTTTAGTACAAGTTTTCTTAACAAGGAAATACAGTGGGTTTTAAATTTAAGCTGTTTAGTTAACATGTGCCTCTTTTATGGAGAGAAAACCTCCAGGAATTCCACTTTTGTTTTGCTCTAAAGATCTTTTATTATATAATTTTTGATATGCTAGTGACTCAAAATGTGCTCATTCTCTTCTTTCATTTCCTTTAAACTCGAGATGGTGCAGCATAAGCCAGCGGAGTTAAAAACTCAAATTCGTGTAACCAGAGCTTTTGTGGACAGCTGTCTCCAGCTGCATGAAGCGGGCCGTCTGGACTCAGCCGCTTCCATGGCAAAATACTGGTATGCGGGCGACAGCGATTGCAATGTGGTGTTTGCACAGGCTGTTAGGGAATTCTTCCAACTTTAGACTCAGGCTGGAGGGTCTCAAAGGAAGAAGCCTATGTAAATGAAAACTAGAAGCGAGAACCAACGTATTTAAAAATGCTGAAAGGTCCTATTAAGCGTATTTATAATGTGCTAAAAATTACTCAAGTTGATATTTAACTTTTAGCTTGCCATTGAAAATAAAATATTAAGAGATTGAAGTAGGATGACTGATTAGTTCATTCAAGTAATAGTTTAATTTCAGCTTATCTGAAGAGCAGCAGTTTAGTGAGACCAAAAAAGAACAGTAAAACTTAGAGACCTGAGATCCTGAGATAGAGTCCCAGTTCTTTCACTAAATAACTGTACTCAAATTTAATTCTCTCTGGGCCAAGATTTTGACATCTGTGAAATGAGTGGATTGGATTGGATTTTTATATTGTGGTGTTTTCCAGATCTAAGAAAAATTTCTAAAGAAGTGGCTGTCCCATAAAAATTGCACACACTCTACTAGGTAAAAAGGAAAAATGTCCTATTAACTTTAGAAAGGCTTTCATTTGCATTAAAGATGATTAGCAATGTTATTAAAGATGAGTTAATTGAAAAAAGACCCCTATAAGGCTTTTGTGTATTTTAAGATACAAGAGCATAGTTTAAATCAGATTCGGGAAGTGGGTTTGGTTTCCTCTGTTTTACAAAAAACAAACATTCTTACATCTCATTAACCCAAAAATAACCTAGAAAAAATTCCTGTCATTATTCATTAACTTGCATTCAGTTCAGTCAGAGGTAGAACAGGGAAATATGCAGAAGAGTGCTTTATGTAATGATTCCAAGATAATAAAATTGTGGGGATGAAATTGGTGTGGAATTACTAGGAACTTAGACTTTTGAGGAAAGCATTTTACATTTACCTTTATAGCAAGTTCTTTGACTAGTTGGAAAAAGTGTAAAAATATTTTAGATAAGATATTTTTGGAAGAATAGATATTTGGACAGCTTTTGACCTCATTCTTCTTTGAAAACACTGGGTTTATAGACATGCTGATATTTCACATTGAAGCAGAGGAAGCGACTAGTTATGGCCCAGTAAATATTTCACTAAAATACTTACCAAACACAAAAATTTATAGAATTCCAACTATTGTTGCCCCCAAGTCTTGTCTGTTAATCATTATATTGTTACTGTATTCTTAGGGATATCCTCACCTGTCCTCTGGCTTAAGTTAAAAATGATTTTAAATAGGAAAATGTGTCTATGCTTTCCTTTGCTTTATGTTTTCCACTATTGAAAAATAAGTTGAAAAGAATTTTGAGCTAAATTCTATTTTTATCTTAAGTTGAATACAATCTCTACCAGTTATCATATGGATTTTAAAGATAATTAAGATTGTTGTGATAAGATCAGAAAAGAGTATTTCTCAAGTATTGCATATTAATACACATATACTTCAGGAGTAATAATTCCTAAATCACCTTTAATAAGTTTACTCTATGATGGCATGTACTTTAAGAATAGTCTTCCTTCTTAGGTTTTCCTTTTTTCTTTCAGTTTATTTCTGAAAACCTTAAAAAACTTTTTCACAGTTACTGAAATTCAGAATTGCAACCTTCAAGTAGGAAGAGACATCTTGGAAGGAGAAAAAGACATATTACAAAGGCAAAAGGAAATAGGTGGCTGTAAAATTATACAGTTAACTTAGATCATATAGAGAATCTAAATAAGTTAGACCAAATTCAAATTTTTACTATATCCTTTTCAGGCCTAAAGTAGCCAAAACTTAATAATCTAAACTTTCTACATTTTGTTTCCAGCCTCAACAAGAACCCAGCCAGAAATATAGTTGATGAGGAAAGTATTCATTGTGTGAAAACTCTCCTGAGATTTATTTCGTATGTAATTTGTATCAATCTTCTCTGGTTGACTAATATGGCTAACTTTAATTGTTTGATAAATGTATGCATGTAAGCACTCATAAATCATGTTTCCTGATTGTGAAGCACCTCATGAAAATCCATTTTAAACGTTTCTTTCCTGCTTTTTTATTTTGGTCGTCTAGAGCATCTGAGTTACAAAACAGACCAGCTTATGACTGTGTTTAGCTCCACGGAGGCGGGGGGTACATGTGGGAGTTCCCAACCGCAAAGTGAATATGGCTGTGGTATGACACTCTCCTGGATGATGGGAAGAGAAAGGAAAATTTCTTTCCTGTACTTTGTACATTGAGAATAGAGGGAAAAGAGGTGCAAAACCTTTGCATTTTCAACTGACTGCAGAGTGTTTTCAGGCAGATGGCAATAGCTTTATGTTATTGGCTCACCACTACGATTTTGTCATTTTAAGGAAAAGTGAAGAGACCAGTAGCCTAAAGCTTGATGCTTGGCTTTATTGAATCGTTGTACAGAAGGACTAATATCACTTTTTTATAGTTTAATAATATTTTATTTTATTGATTAACCATAATTATACAGGTTATTTATAGTTTTTTACTATGACAACAATGCTACAACACTTTTATACATTGATCTTAGATACATGTGTTTTCGATTACAACAGGACAGAGCCCCAAAAGTAGTACTGCTAGTTGAAAAGTATGCATATTTTAAATATTAATACGTTTCTGGATTATTTCCTCCCGTTTGCAGCAACTCAAATGAACAAAGTCTGTGGATGACTTCTCCTCCTAAGCTATGAATGTTATTGCCTTTTAAAGTTTGTGTTAATCTAATGGGTGAAAAATAGGTTATTATTCTTCCTTTAATTTGCATTGACTATTAATTATTTTATTTTATTTTACTGTGGTAAGAACACTTAACATGAGATCTCCCCTCTTCACACGTTTTTAAGTGTGCTGTCCAGCATTGTTCACCAGGCGCGATACTGTATGCAGATCTGTAGAGCTCATTCATCTTCCTAATTGAAACTTTATGCCTATTTATTAGTGAATCCGCATTTCTCCTCCTCTTAGCCACTGGCAACCACCATTTCTGTTTGAGTCTCTGAATTTGTCTATTTTAGAACGTCATATAGGTGGAATCATGTAGTATTTGTCTTTCTGTGACTGACTTATTTCACTTAGCAGCATGTCCTCAGGTTCAGCCAGCTTGTCACAGACTGCAGAATTTCCCTGTTTTAAGGTTGAATAGGATTCCATTGTATGTATATACTACATTTTCTTTATTCCTTCATCTGTCCATGGACATTGAGGTTGTTTCTGCATCTTGGCCACTGTGATTAATACTGCAATGAACATCTGCCTGCTAATATTGCTTGGAGGTCCTGATTGCAATTCTTTTGTATAAATACGTAAAAGTGGGATTTATGGATCATATGGTAGTTCTGCCTTTTTTTAGGGACCTCCACACTGTTTTCCATAGTGGCTGCACCAAGTTAAGTTCCCTCCCACAGTGTCCAAGCGTCTGATTTCGCCACATCCTGACCAACACTTGCCGTTTGTTTTTTTGTTAATAGCCATCCTGACAGATGTGAAGTGACGTCTCATTGTGGTTCTGATTTGCATTTCCCTGATGATTAGTGACAGGGAGCATTTTTTCATATACCTGTTGGGTATTTAGATGTCTTCTTTGGATATAGCACTTGTTTAAAAGGAAAACACAGAAAAATGGCACTACAGAAAATTTAACCTGCATCTGAAAAGGATCTAAGTTGTCATATTTAAATATTTGATTATTTACTTTGCTCTAAAAAACAAAAGTATTAATTTCTTCCAACTAGAGTTATTTCTTTCAAATTAAAAGAAATTAAATACACACTTTATTATATCACATACAAATCTTCCTGTTATTAGTTTAAAGCAGTCCAAGTTTGTCAATAGGCCGCATCCTCTTCTGTATTTCTCCCTCCATCTCTGTAATTTCTCCTTTCCCTCTTCCCATAGTCTTTTGCCTCAATAACTTCCTCATGGCATTTCTCCTCATCACTCTAGAAAATATATTTTTCCTCTTATTTAACAATATTTTCAGTTTATAAAATTTTCCCAAGGAAGTTTTTGCTTTATAGAGGGAAGTCCAATTTAGTTCTGAATCTGAGAATGAGAATGCTGTGGGCTTCTAAAAACTTTCTAATTTTAATCTAAATACAGAGTATCTAAAGGGAAAAATGATCAAACTAGTATTCAAACTGACTTTCAAATTTATCACTTTGGCAATCATAATTGAAAACATTTGATGCACTTATAGTCCTTAATGAGGAAAATAAACATTTTATTAAAGTTACACTTAGAATAGAAGCTCCAGCATAGATATAATTTACTAGTTTTCTGTAGCCATTGGGCAGCTCAGAAAGCTCAAATCACAGGGTGTATATAATTTATAATCTTTTATAAAAACTCAGCAAGAACTAGGGCTTGTTCCTTCCTTAGGAATGTGTGCATGCAGTAGCTAACTGGCTTCTTTTTTTATCCATCCTTGGACTTGGGTTTTGCTCTATCCTTCCAGAACTGCTTCAAATAGGCCTTAATCAGAAGCAGATTTATTGTTTAGCTTTGTATAGTCATGACACCAGGAGTAAACACTGAGTTACGCCAGCACAAATTAAATCATCACGGGAATTTTGCCTGTGCGTTTTCATGTTTTATTCAGAATATTAATTCATCTCATGCACAATATTCGTAATGCTAAGAAGGTTAAATAATAATGGATGTTTCTATTTTCTACTTCACTGTGCTGTTACAATGGCTGCTGGGAATGTAGCCACGTCGTGGCTCATTGTGCGTCTAGTTTAGTTTGGGTTCTAAGGAAGGCATAGCAGGTGGACAGGGCCCAGGATCAGAGTGCAGCATCAGTCTTGGTCTCTTTTCTCAGAGGCAATTCCTTCAGGTCAGTAACAAGCAAAAATTGTAGCTTGATGGCTTCTTTGAAATCCCTGGCTTCAATTTGAAAGACATGTTTCCTTTCAGAAATAATAATCCCCTTCTTGGCCAGCTTATTAGTTCAAAGATCATATGAACTTTTAAACTAGATGGCTCTCTCTCTCCCCGACGACATCGGGAAGGAACTTTTTATAAGATAATGGAAGAGAGCAGTAGATAATATCAAAAAAGCTAATCCAACAAATTAGGCAGTATGTGGATGCAGTGTACAGACTGATTTGATAGAAAAAAATCATGCTAATTGTGTTTCTCATATCCTCAGATTAAGCTGTATTATTTGTGTGTGTGTATGTGTTGCTGACTCTTGGTTTCACAGATAAAAGTGGTACCTTTTTTGCTTTTCTGTTTTGTTTCATTTTATTTGTTTTCGGGGTTTTTTTTGTTTGTTTTTAAAGAGCTGGTCTTGAGCATGTGAGTCTGTTTCTGTCTTACTCAGGCTTGGGACCTCTGAGAAGTGGGGCTTGAGTTTGCCACTTTTCAGGCCTTCTCTGCCGTGCTGGGAAGAGCAGCCAGAGATACAGAGCGTCATCCCTGTGGGGCTAAGCACCCTCCTGCTGCCTTGCTCTGTGCACTTTAGTTGACGACTGAATTTGATTAGTAACCTATAAAAGGTCTACTGATCTCTGTCATTGCCTGCTCCACTGGAACGTCCTTAATGTGAAACACATGCCCTGCCCGGTCCAGCCTGAGCCCGCTGAAGCCGAAGCCAGGTGGGCCCAGTAAATGCAAGCGCTGGATTCTGTAGGCAACAGTGGAATCTCTTCAAAAGAAGAATTATATTTGAAAACACAAAGGTCTCTAGGTTTCATGTTTCATCAGAGAGTAGGTGTTGAGACTTTAAAATTCCTTTGTAATACAGTAATTGAAATAAGTAAATAATTACCCAGTTCTTACTGTTTGCATGGTACCATGATGAATATGGAGAATAATAACCAGAATTGGTCATGTTCCTAGAGAGCGGTCACATTTAATGTCTCAATTAAAAATTATTAAAAAAAAGAACAAACAGATTCTATACTTAAAAAATATGCCTTTGCATTTGTCTGCTAGGAAAGTCTGAAGCTCAATAATGCTTCCCACCCACCTGGGCCAATGACAGTCTTGTGCTGTCATAAGAAAGGTCCTTGCCAACGTGCTGGGACACCCACCTTCTCCCTCCAATGGCCAGTACTCTGTTATGTGACCATGAAATAGCAGCCGTTAATTAGTAAATGTATTAACTTCTCTGCCTCTCGGTTCCTTTACCTGCAAAACGGTAATATTTATCCTCCCTAACTCCTGAACTGAGAGGATAAAATGAGGTGAGAAAAGGTAAAAACAACTGTACAGTGTCGTGGTTGCTGTCACCGCCACCAAAAGTGAATTCCTAATAACATTTTTTTGTTTTTTTCTAGCAGTGGACTCAGCCACTCAGTATTTTAACTTCCTATATTACTGGAGTGACTATTAACCATTTCCAAAAAATAAGTTACTTGTTAACTTTGTGGGAAGTAATATTTTCTGAAGCGTCAATTTATACCCGTGATGGCGGCAGTGATGGTGGGAATCTTAAAGAAATGTTATAAAATACGTGCTCTCTTTTTCTTTTGTTTTCTGTAAAACCAGTGGATTTAAACTTTTTGGGGAAACATTAAAGATAACAAGAAATTAAGACATTCCATCCATTTCTAAATCCCAAACAACCTCTTTTTTAGAATGCTATTATATGTGCTGAATTTCACAAAATTAAATCAAATGTAACATATTTATAAAAGTTATTTTGAATTTGTACTCTCTTAAGCAAACTAAAACAAAGCTATGCAGGTAATCAATATCTTAATAGAATTTTATAATTATACCAATCTGGGATGAATGCCATACTGAGAAAAAAGTAATTTATGAAGAAATTTTATTGTTTGGATTTTATTAAATGAATACTTTTGTTACCTGATGAGACAAAATTTATAATTTCTAATATCTTTTATTTATTCATTCAGTCATCTTCTGATTTATCCAGAGCTTATGTGGATGCCTGAGTTTGGCCAATCTCTGGTGGCACCAATGAAATAATGGGGGAACTGATTGCAAGAGAGATTGTGGTGACAGGCAGACGTCTGCCCACATCCTGGAATCCTATTACAACTAATCTGGTTTTAAATCTGCTCAAGATAAAATGCAACCTGGAAAGGGAGCAAACACTAAACATGCTCCCTCTGTAGAGGAAGGAGTCAAATACAAAAAAAGATTAACACAATGGGAGGAGAAATCTTTGAATCCAAAGATTCTAAAATTCTCCAAAATAAGGCTTAACTTTTAATTTTGTATATTACTAAAAAGCAAAGATTTCCTGATTCTAAAAGCCTTAGTGTCTTATTTATCCCTAAAATTCTAAAAAAGCATAATTGCTTAAATCTTGCAGATTTATTTATTATTAATTTATTTAATTTATTATATAATTATAAATAATTAATTTATTAATTTAATTAATTTAATTTAGGATTTATTATTAGGCAGAAATTTTATTATACTGTAAAAACATTAATAATACTTAGAGCTCATTGACTTTGAAAGGGAAAGATAAATATAATTTAGAATGTAAAATAACTTCAGCTATCTTTGCTCCCAATTCCTCAGACATAGTGGTTTCTACTACCCACCCTAAGCCTGTGTTGGTGAGCAGTGGAGCCCTGTCTTCAAACAAAAGCCTGTGCAGAGTCCCTGTGAGATGCTGATGAACGAAGAGCCACTCTAGTGGAAGCGGGAAGCCTTCCTACCTCACTGCCTGGGAACCAGCATTTGCCTCCCCCAACTAGAGAACGCGGTTGCTTCTCTATCTACTGACACCTGGGCTTTCAAGAGATTTCCATCCCAGTTTAATTTATAGGAGAACACAGAACAATCCATCATCCTTTAGTTTCAAGATATTGGTAGATTATATAGATATCAAAACAGTAACTTTTATTTTGAAGCAGTGTACTTTTTAAAGTTAATTTAACAAATCTTTATGTCTTCTCTAAGCCACGATGTTGAATATGATGGCAAATGAAACTGGCAGGATCTCTGCCTGCTTAATAAGTGAATAAGCAAATAAGTTGTCATAAAGAAGTAAATAAGATAATTTCAAATCATGATAAGTGCAATAAAAGAAATACAGTGATCATTTAGAATAGGAAAGTGGGAGACAACACTTAATTTGAGACTTAAAAGTAATTGTTATCGTGGGGCCAGCCCCATGGCTGAGTGGTTAAATTTGTGCGCTCCGCTGCGGTGGCCCAGGGTTTCGCAGGTTTGGATCCTGGGTGCGGACATAGCACGGTTCATCAGGCCATGTTGAGGTGGCGTCCCACATGCCACAACTAGGAGGACTTGCAACTAGGAGATACAATTATGGACCAGGGGGGATTTGGGGAAAATAAAGAAGAAGAAGAAAAAAGATTGGCAACAGTTGTTAGTTCAGATGCTAATCTTTAAGGAAAAAAAAAGATTGGCAAGAGTTGTTAGCTCAGGTGCCAATCTTTTTTTAAAAAAAGTAATTGTTAACAAAAAAGATAAACCATTAATTTGTAAACTGCTGCATCATTTCAGGACGTGATTTCTTTGTATATACTGGTGAGACAGTGAATAAAGTCATTTTTAAATGGAAACAGATGTATTCTTGTTCAACTTAGAAAACCTAAACATTGCATTTGGTGTTGTTGATATTAAACATTGGTTTTTTTTCTGAGGAAGACCAGCCCTGAGATAACATCTGTTGCCAATCCTCCTCTTTTTCCTTGAGGAAGATTGTTGCTGAGCCAACATCCATGCCCATCTTCCTCTGTTTTATGTGGGATGCTGCCACAGTGTGGCTTGACAAGCAGTGCTAGGTCCGTGTCAGGTGTCTGAGCCTGGGAACCCCGGGCTGCTGAAGCAGAGCATGTGAACTCAACCCACCGGGCCAGCTCCTTAAACATTGTTTTTTAATGTAATCATTGCAACTGGGTAGAGCAGAAGGAAGAGAAAATACTTAGACACTATTCCTTCCTAGAATTAACACACCTTTGATTTGCTCTTGGGTAGAAGTTTGTATGATTGCCAGCTTGAGTTCTTGCTCATATGTGCTAAATACCATGCAAAATGGGTTAAAATAAATTTTTATTCGATTTTACTGTATTTGCCACTTTCATCTTCCTCCTACTACCTGGTAGCAATACAGGACTAGACCACCTGCCCCCAAGATCCTGTCTGTTTTTTCTCAATCTTAAAGGAAACTAGATTTTAGAAGCACATCTGTAGGACAAAAACTAAATTAACATAGCAGGAAAAGCCTACTGTGTAGTGGTGGACAGACCTGGGTTTGAATGGACTCTATCATTTAGGAGCCATTGGACCGCAGGCAAGTAATTTAACATCTCACAATTCTTTCAGGTGCAAATGACAAAAGAAACCCAATTCACACGATCCTAAGCAAAAGTACTAGCTTCAAAGGATTGTGGAGTAGCTCACATAGTCTAAAGAACTGTGGGAACTAGGGTCTCAAGGGCCTGTGTCTGGGGCTTAGAACTGCCAGCACTTACACTGTATCCAGTTATTTTTACTTTTCTTTGCAAATTGACCCAATGGACACTGCAGAGAAATGCCATTGCAGGGCCTGTAAAGATGACCTTGGGCTGCTCCAGGCCTACATCCTTCAGCACGATGTCATTTTAAGGTAGGGAAAGGTGCTCTGTGATTGACAGTCCCGTCAGGAACACGCGGACGGGGGAAGCAGTTCCTGAAGCAGGCAGTGGAATTGTCAAAAGAAAAGGAAGACAAGTCTGCTGGGTAGACATAAATTCTCCTCAGACACTCACAGAGCTGTTAACAGTCCACAGAGCTAGGAACAGATTCCAGGAATCTTTATATAGCAGAAAGTGAAAGGCTTTCTAAGGTAGGATATTTTCTTAGAATGATCTCTGGGATGTTTTCTGTCTCTCCTAAGCTGGGTGTTTTCTTTGTCTTGCCAACATCAGTGTGGTTTTGCACCCAAGAAGAAGCATGGGTTGTGTCATAGGCTTAAAGCTGAAAGCAGAAAAGGGAATTCAGAAGGTGTTTCTTAGCCTTCCCTTTGGTTTTATTTCTTAAATCGCTGATCTTTGTGTTTTGCCTGTGTGACTTTGTCCCCTAGGGAGGGGATTTATCATCTATATCTCATGCAGTGCCAAGTGCTCAAGAAACGATGAATAATAATAACGCTCAAAAGAACTGACTGGTCCAACACAGCAAGAAAGCCACACTGTGTAAGTAATTAATGAGAATCAAAAAGCCTGAATAACTGGTTTTTGGTGAGATTTTTAGAATCATAATTATTGCTGTAAAATTATTTTTGCCCTTTATTTATTTGATGGTGTCGTTAAAAATCACAATATGTAAAGGAAGCTGTTTTGATTTGCTATTTAAAATCTAACTGCAAATCTTTCCTCATCTAGTAACTTTAGTAGTTTATTGCTCAAGGTATAAGATTTCCAGGAGACTGGTGTTTTTCATGTGTCAGTATTATTTTGGGCACACACAGCATTTATTTATTTGGAGTCATTAGAAACATTTGACATTGAGATGGAAAACAACTGTAGGCCTGTGATGTCTACTGCTTTATAATAAATGTTGAAAAGAAGTTCTACTCTACTTTTGAAGTCTCATTTTCCATTTTTAAGAAAAAGTTACAGAAAACTTCAAACATACTCAAAAATAGTGAAGATAGTATAATGAACCTCTAGCGTCAACATTTGCCAATGTATCTCCCCCACTTCTTTTTTCTCAGTTATTTTAAAGCAAATGCCAGACAATTTTATTTCACACATACAGATATATTTCAGAATAGGTATCTGATTTATGAAGATGTTTTTACATAACATCAAGGACATTATCATAATTTTAAAACTGTAATGAGTTCCCAATTAACGTTAAATTTGTCTTGGTTGTATCAAGAATGCCTTTTGTAGTTGGTTTGTCCAAATCAGGATGCAAACAAGGTCCATAAGTTGCTTTTTTTTTGTATTATCTTCTAAGTCTCTCTTTTTTTTAATAATAGTCCACTTTCTCTCTTTTTTTCTTTTTCTTTTTAAATTTTATTTTTTTAATTAACATACAGCAAATTTGCCTGGCTTAGGTATACATACATACAGTTAAATTGCCTTTGTTTTGGTTCTTTGAATTTTTGCATGTATATAGATTCATGCAAACACCACCACAATCAGGACACAGAACAGTTCCATTACCCCAAAAACTACCTCGTGCCCTTTATAGTCACATCCTTTCTGCACCTCTAACCCCTGGCAACCACTGATCTGTTCTCTGTTATTACAGTTTTGTCATTTTGAGACTGTCATATAAATGGATCAAATAGTATGTAACATTTTGAGAATGACTTCTTGGCAAAAATGAATTTAAGATTCATTCATGTTGTGTGAATTAATAGCTCCTTCCTTTTTAGCCCTAATTAGGATTCCACTGTATGGACGGACCACAGTTTGTCTGTTGTTCACCTACTTAAGGACATTTTGGTTGCGGAGATTAAATACCCAGAGAGGAGCTGATGAGTCATAAAGGTGAATGTATGTTTCACTGTCTGGGAACTGCCATGCTGTTTTGCAGAATGCCTGTACCACTTTGCCTTTCCACCAGCAATGTGAGAGTTCCAGTTGCTCTGCATCTTCTCTAGCACTTGTATTTTTTATTTCAACCATTCTAATAGATGGATAGTGGTATCTCCGTGGCTTTAATTTGCATTTCCCTAATGGCTTATGATATTGAACAGCTTTTCATGTGCTTTTTTGACTTCCACATATCTTCTTTGGTGAATTGTCTGTTCAGATCTTTTGCCCATTTTTCAGTTGGGTTGCTTGTTTTCTTGGTATCCAGCTTTGAGAGTTCTTTATGTATTCTGATATTGTCAAACATAAGGCAAAGCCAGGCTGACACAGATTCAGCTAGTGAAGAAAAATGAGCCCTTTTGGACTCCGTTTATTGCTTACATAGAGAGTGAAAAGACGAGTAGCCAAAGGTGCCAGCTCTCTGTGGCCTTTGCACAGGATGACACTGAAACAAAAGAGGCCAGAGGACTGCGGCAAGAATGAGGGGGCACTCTGTTACTGAGGATTCCATTCCATGATGCTGCTGATCAATTTTATAGCTGCAGGTGTGCCCTAAGGGTAGCGAGGCAGAAAGCCTCGTACCCCATCAGAACACTGCAATGATAGGAAACTGTCTCTTGACAGCCCCCTGGGTAGATAGGGAAACGAATGAGAAATGGCCTGGTAGCAGCATCTTGCAAGTCTCCCGTGTTCAGATATTCCAGGGCAGTCTCAGGGCTTTCTGTCAAGATTCAGCTACCTACGTGGCCTCTGTAGAAATGTGCATGGTCGTCAGACTCGGCTGCTCCCCTGTAGATCCAAGTCCTTAGTTGGATATGTGATTTCTAAATATTTTCTCCCTATCTATAGCTAGTTCTTTCATTCTCTTAATAGTGGGCTTTGTAGAGCAAAGTTTTAATTTTGATGAATTCCAATTTATCATTTTTTTCTTTTATGGATCACACATTTCATATCATATCTAAGAACTCTTTCCTCAAACTCAAGTCATAAAGTTATTCTTCTTTTAAGAATTTTATATTTTACATTGTTCATTTAGATCTATATTCCATTTAGTAATTTTTATAAGGTGTGAGATTATGTCAAGGTGCATTTTTTTGCATATAGGTCTAATTCTTCCAATACCACTTGTTGAAGAGTATCTTTTTTTCATTGAATTGCCTTTTCACTTTTGTCAGATCAATTGACCATATTTGTGTGGGTCTATTTCTGGACTCTGTTCTGTTTCATTAATCTATGTATCTTCCCCTTTGCTTAGTTATAGTAGCTTTATAGAAAGTCTTAAAATCAGATAAGGAGATTCCTCTAGCTTTATTCTTTTTTTCCAAAATTGTTTTGGCTTTTCTAATTTTTTCTCCTTTCCATATAAATTTTCGAATCAACTTGTCTGGATCTACAAAAAAAATCCTGCTGGGGTTTTGATTGGAATTGCAGTAAATATATAAATCACCTTGGAGGGAGTTGCTATTTTTATCATGTTGAATCTTCCAATCCATGAATGGGAATGTCTCAATTTATTTAGATCTTTGATTTATTTCTTCAGCGTTTCATAATTTTTAACATAGAGATCCTATATGTTTTGTTATATTTACCATTAAGTATTTCTTTTTTTTTTTTTGGCAGCTACTGTAAATTGTATTGATGTTTAATTCTGGTTTACAATTGTTTATTGCCAATATAATTGATTGTTGTTTGCTGACCTTGTATCCTGTGGTCTACTAAACACACATAAATTCTGAGAGTTTTTTGTAGATTCCTTGGGATTTTCTAAATAGACAATACTGTCATCCATAAACAGGGACAGTTTTATTTCTTGTTAATCTCTATGTCTTTCATTTCTTTCTTTTTTCTTTTTTTCTCTTTCTTTCCTTCTTTTCTTCTTTCTTTCTTCCTCTCTCTCCCTCCTTTCCTTCCTTTCTTTCTTTCTCTTATTTTACTTACCAGGACTTCCACTACAATATTCAGTAGGAATGGTGAGAATGGACATCCTTGTTTGTTCCTGATCTTAGAATGGAAGATTTGGGCTTTCACATTAAGTATGATTTTTTAAAGTAGATTTTTAGTAGATGCTCTTGATCAGGTTGAAGAGGTTCCATTCTATTCCTAATCTGATGAGAGTTTCTATCATTAATGGATGTTGAATTCTGTCAAATGCTTTTTTTTCTACATCAATTGATATGATCATGTGGTTTTTCTTCTTTGGATTATTAATATAGTGGATTACACTGATTGAATTTTGAGTATTGAACCAATCTTGCATTCCTGGGCTAAACCCCAGTTGGTTATTGAGTATTATAATTTTTGCATATCATTTGGTTCTATTTGATATAGTTTATTGGTAATTTTTGCATCTATCTTCATGAGGAACATTTGACTGTAATTTTCTTTTCTTGCACTGTCTTTGCCTGGTTTTGTTATCATGGTAATGTTGACCTCATAAAATGAGTTAGGGATTATTTCTCCCTTTTTCCTCCATTCCATTGATTTGTTGGAAAAAACCTGGTTATTTATTTTGTAGATTGTCCACCATTATTGATCTGTCTGATTGATCTCTCATGGTGACTTCTAATTTATTTCTCTATTCCCCTGTGTTTCCTGGAGGCTCATTGTTAGAGCTGGAGGCTTGGTTAGCTTCAGGCCCAAAAAACTCAGTAAGTGGTGCTGTGAATATTCTATTGCATCACACCATGAGACACATAATATCTAATTATTTCACTTTATAATATAATATTAGTTATCCACTGAGATTGATCAGTGGATTCAGATGGTATTAGTCTGATACCTCTATAAAATTCCCCATCAATATTTTACATGGTTTTAACATCCATTCATAATTATTTGCAAGATCTATTATTTCATTAGGAGCTGTAAAAAGATGATTTTCTAATTTTTTAACTCCTTTTGCATGTATTAACTTTCATAAAGAAGAACTTCAACTTTTTGGTTAGTCTGTGTGTCTGTGGGTCTTCTAGGAACCAGAAGTGGAGACACAATTAGAAGTGCAAGACGTTTGCTGAGAGGTAACACCAGTGAAAGATGAAAAGGGAAAGAAGTCATATTGGGCAGGGAGAAAAGAGCCTGAGGCCCTGAAGCAGATCTGACAAAGCCTTGCCCAATCCATTCCAATGAGGAGCCCTGGAGGCAAGACTGTCTGTTAGAGGAGTCCTGCATTTGGCAGAAATGGCCAGCCCCAATTTCCTCTGCCCTGCTCAGTCATTGTCCAAGCCTGCTTGGGAAGAGGTTGGCCTCAGCTCAGAAGCTCATGTGAGTCCTGAAGGTGCTAAGAACTGGAGGCTCAGTTAACTGTGCTCCTTACAACAAAGCGGCAAGTTCTTTCTTGAAGAGAGATCTGGGAGTTGGCACCTCTGTGGCTGCCACACCTTGAAAGAGAATGTGTAAATAAAAGGCAGAATAAATTTTTGATTTTTTTTCCTTTTATCAATTTTTAGAGTAATGAGTGGGTGCCCTAAGAACCTCCCATGATAATGATTTTTTTAAGTATCAATAAGAACTCATGGATTTTGGAAATGTTTATGTATTTTAATTAATTGCAGTCATTATTCTTTTTGATGCATAAATTGTTTCATCTTAGGCCAGTAAGAGTCCCTTCAAGTTTGCTCTTGTATTTTTTTCCTTTTCATTATGGAAAATGTGAAACATATACAAAACTACATGAGAGAATAGTATAATACACCACCATGTTTCCTCACCCAGCTTTGACAGTTATCAACTCATGACTAATCTTTAGTCATCTATATCCATATATACCCCCTACTCTCATGGATTATTTTAAAACAAATACCAGACATCAGGTAATCCTGAATCATTTTGACTTGACCCATTATTTATGACAGTGTCCTTGCTCTCTGATACAACAAAAATTTCCTGTCCTAGAGCTGAAATCAGCCATTTTCCCAAAGATCCTAGTTTATTTTAGTGGGGTTTTCCTAGTTTCAAGCTATTACCAAACTTATTTATTTTACTTTGTTTCATAAAATCCCTCTTGAAATTATTTTGATTACTAAAAATTGTACTTTTCTTTAGCCTTTTCCTTAAATCTAAGCTTACCAGAATTTTAACATATCCCAAGACAAGTTATGTTCCATTTGACAGTAGAAAATTATGTTAGATAGACTGTTTTCTGTTGCAGGAAACAGATAACCCAAATCAAATTTGGCTTAAAAAATGAAGGAAGAGCTCACAAAACTGGAAAGCTCAGAGATAGGGCAGGCTCAAAGCTGGGTGACTCAACAGCTTAGCTTGGTCACTGAGGACTGGCTTCACCCGTTCTTTACATCTCTGTGTCCTGCCGTTTATAGTGTAGGCCTGGTTTAAAACTGGCTCCTCTAATGGTCATGGGATGGGCTTTCCTGTTCATGTCCAGAGTGAGAGAATGCACTTCTGCCCAGAATTTTGGACAAAGGAACTGCAGCTCACTCTCATGGGTCTAGTTTTAGTCATGTTGTCGACCTCTGAACCAATGATTGTGCCAAGGGAAATGGAATACCTTAGTTGGCTTAAGCCAATTCAGGCACACTTTGGGATATGGCCATAGGAGCAGATTCACTCAAAGCACATGAGATGGGTGGAGGGCTGGATACCAGCGTGAAAATCAGGAAAATGTTAGGAAAGGGAGATTGTGGAATAGAAACCAAATAGGCAACTAACAAATATCTACTATAACAACTACAAACTAGATCCTGGTTGTTAGCATCAGTGCCTGAAGATCATCACATCTCAAATGAGACAGTCTCATTTGTTGTCACATTTAAAATTTCAAAATTAAAATCATTTCAACATGACTTTCATAGTAGAGAGTCTTAATATCCACCCATGCACAGGTCTCCTTTCTGGGCACATGAGAAGTTTATATATCCTGGTTCTCTTGTAATTGGGCAGAGCTGTGTGACTAGTCCTTGTCAATGGATTGTGGATGCAAGTGATGTATGTGTCTTAACCTGTGGCAGCAATTGTAGAGGTGCTGTGGAGGTGACATAAGAACAAAGCATGGAATATAGATGCAACATATGGAAGGCAAGTGTTCAGGAAATTTACCTGGACCTGCAACAGATTTTGTGTGAGATAAACTTCCTTTGTGTTAAGTCACTGTGATTGGGGGTTATTTGTTACTGCATCATAACCTGACCCATCATGACTGATACAGCTTTCATATGTTCTTACATGATATATAACTGAGGAAATAGAACTTGTGTAACATTAATATATAACACCTTTAGTGACCCCCAAGAAATTGCTATGATGTTCACATTTCATATGAAATGAATCAGACTGTTGGAATAGTTTTTCACTGTAGTGATTTCTGGCCAGTATTTCTGGATATGCCCGTTTAGTGTAAAGACCTATGGGATTAGTGTTCCATAAACAACACTTTTATCATTTCATTTCCTTATGCAAAAATCTTTAATAGTTCCACTATTACCTATGGAATACTTTATATTCCTTACTTAAACTTGCATCACAGCCTTTCATATTTTGGCCCTAACCTACCTTTGCAGACTTGTCCACCATTATTCTCTTTAATTGCATCAATATGTTCAGCATTCTTAACACCCTGTGCACAACACAGAGCCTGAAAAGGGAATGTAGTTCAAAAACTCTCTTGTAGCTGTCTTTTTGTTTGACCTTTCCCCCCGCAAACTAGCTTGCTACATTTAGCTGACTCTGGTTTAGACATTTTGTTTTGGAAACTGGTGGAGACCATTGCCTAACCAACATCTATTCTTTCTTTCTTCCTAAACAATAATCCCTATACTATTGGAGGTGACAATATGTTCAACTTTAGCTGTATTTCCTAGTCCCCCCTGCAACTAGATATATCCATATGGTGAAGCTGTAGAATTGTTGAGAGGGACTTTAGGAGAGGCACCGTGAAGGTCCTGTTTGCCTTCTATCCCTTTCTTATCTGCTGCCTTGAAAGTAGTTATGACGGCTGGAGTTCCAGTAGCCGCCTGGGACCATGAGGTTACTTTGAAAATGGAAGCTAGGGCTGAGAATGGCAGAAGAGAATAATAGAAAGGAGCCTGGATCCCTGGTGACCTTGTGAGCTGTTGTATCAGCTCTGGGCTATCTACCTCCAAACTTTTTTTTTTTTTTTTTTTACCATGTTTCATTGAGTCTTAAGATGCACCTTTATTTATATATCATTAAGAAAAAGCCCACTGCCAATGAAACTGATACAATGCTTTCTTATTGCATTAACACTGAGGTTGTTCCAATTTCAGAAATAAATTGTAAAAAAAAGTCTTAGAATCAATAAAATGTTATAAAAGAAATAATTAACCTTTGCGTTTCTTTTTTTATTTTTTGAGGAAGATTTGCCCTGAGCTAACATCTGCTACCAATCCTCCTCTTCTTTTTCTGAGGGAGACTGGCCTGAGCTAACATCCGTGCCCATCTTCCTCTCCTTTTATATGTGGGACGCCTACCATGGCATCGCTTGACAAGTGGTGCATAGGTCTGCACCCAGGATCTGAACCAGTGAACCCTGGGCCGCCGAAGCAGAACGTGTGAACTTAACCACTGCACCACTGGGCCAGCCCCAACCCTTGTGTTTTTAAGCTATCATTACTTTGGGCTTTTGGATACATTTCACACAGACTATCTGTCTCCTGACTGATACAGACTAGTTTTTAATTTTTCTGCCTGTCTACATTTTGGACTTAAAACTCCTTGAGATTTCTGAGTCAGCTTTCATCAGAGAATCCTTGTTTTAAAAATCGACTTTATTGAAGTATAATTCTCATACATTAAATGTACCTGTTTTAGTATATGTTTTGGTGAGTTTTGACAAATGCATGCACCCATTTAACTTCCACCCTGATCAAGATGTAGAGTATTTCTATCATACCTTATATCCATCCCAGTCAATTCCCCCCACTCCAAGCCTAAGCAACTGCTGATCTGCTTTCTGTCATTATAGGTTAAATTTGTCTTTTCTAGAGCTTTATATAAATGGAATCATACAATATTTACTTTTATGTCTGGCTTCTTTCACTCAGTGTTCTGTTTGAGACTCATCTATGTTGTCTTGTGTATCAATAGTTTGTTTTTACTGCTGAGTAGCATTCCGTTACATGGATGTACCACAATTTACCTTTTCACCAGGTGATTCATCTTAGGGTTATCTCCAGCTTAGGGTATTGTAAATAATGGTGCCATGGATACTTGTATGCACAGGGAGCCATTTTTGATTCCCATATAGCCATGGGCCAGTCCTGACCACTCTTGTATCCTGTCCTGGTTCTAAAATCCTATAGCTCTTGCTACCCACCCCTGCCCTTTGTCTCCTTGTCTGTTGATACAGGCTAGTTTGAGATGCATCTGTCCTGAATAGGAGTTATCACCTTTAGCCCTGCTGCTTCTCCTATTCCACTTCTTAAACATGATCATAAAAAGAAAGAATTAAATATACCAGAATATGACAGTGGAGGACAGTTGCCCTGGGCACAGAAATATAGAGGAATACATGGTACAGGCTTCCAAACCAGCTTTCTATTCTGTGAGAGGTAGTAGGGAAAGAACTCTGGCTTTGGAGCTAGGCAGGTCCATCTTCAAATCCCGGGTTGGTCATTTATTAGTGGGAGAATTCAAATATATTATTTAACTTCATTGAGTTTCATTTTTTTCTACCTGGAAAATGAACAGAACACTCACTTTGAAGAATGTGAGAATTAAATGCATGCATTCATTCAACAAGTAATGTGTTGAAAACCTACGTGTGCCAGTTCTTGTTCTAGGCTTTGGGAATAGAGCTGTGAGCAAAACAGCAAAAGTGCCTGACATCATGGAGCTTACATTCTACCTTGAGAGACAAGACAACAAAAATGAAAATATCAAAATCTATGTTATGTTAGAAGATGGTCAGTGCCATGGACAAAAACAGAGCAGGGAAGGAGGATAGAAAAGGCTGTGCTTGTAACCCCTCCTTGGCCGTGAGCTGCTTGAGACAAGGGTATGATCCTTCTCTTGTATTGCTAGCATTTGTCATAATGTCAGCTGAATATTAAGTGATGCACAGGTTTCCTGAATGCAAGGAGGTACTGAATAAAAACCAGTGCCGAGAAGAGAAGTTTATCTCATGAAATCATTGTAATACTGCTTACCTGGACACTTTTACGTGCTTTCAGGCAGGTAATAATTATGTCAGCAAGAATGCTGCCCTTTCCTTCTCCTTGTTCTTGCTGGTTCTGTAAGTCTCCTAGCTACAGTTATATTTTTTATTGGAAATCAGAAAGCTTTTAATGTACCTTCTGAATATTATATCCTTGAGTTAAAAAAATTAACCACATGCATTTTTCAGACTTTTGCTGAATGAGGAGTGTAGAAAACCATTTGACAAATGGTTCAGTATGTCACTTTTTCTATCAAGGAACTTTGGTATTCTACAGTTTTTGGAAAACTGGCATGCACATGCTGCACATATTAAAATCATGCTTTAGAATAATATTGAATATCAAGGGATGATGTGTTTAATAGGTGGTTAAATGGGGTAAACAAAAACGGTATGCAGTGGCATCTCACACATATAAAATACAGTAGGCCTTACAGATGATTGTGCTTTTCCTCTTTGTGCTTTTCTACATTTTTTACGTCAAACTTGTATTATTAGTCATTTCCTACCCCAGAAATTCCTATCATTTTTCAAGTATCATAAACTGGATATAAAGAAACAAAATTTTATTTGTATGGTGGCTTGATAGACTGAAATATTTAAGTTCTGCAAATTTGGCAATTTGCACAACTGACTATAAGATAAAAGAATTAACCTAGAATATTGGAAACAGCCTACCTCCTAGGGTTGTTTGATGAACAAATTAGATAATGTATGCAAAAATGCCTTCTGAATAATTACTTGTGTAATTACAAAGCTTCATACCTGCATCATCCGCTATAAATTCCATGAGAGCGGGAAATTTGTTTACTGCTATATCTCCAGTACTCATCATACAATATGTGTTCAATAAATATTTGGTATGACTATTTTGTTTTGGTAATTGATAATTATTTCAGAGGAGAAAATTGTATCCTCAAGTGATTTGATGGCACTACGATTCCTTCAAATTAAAATCTGAATTCCTGTTATTCAAGATTTACTCAGTCTAGCTGACAATGTCTTTTCCAGCCCCGTAATGTGATACACACAACTTGTACTCAAACTCAGAGACTCTCCTGAACTATTATTGATGCCTTCTTTCTTTCTCTGCCTAAAGTCTTTTAAAATACCCAGCTCAAATAAAAAAACTTCCTTTGCTTTATTCATTTTTGTATTTCTGTCCCCAGGGACTAGGACAGCCCTTTGACTATGGTAAATATCCATTAAATATTTGTTGATTTATTTTCACAACACATTTGCGTACTATTTTTATTCCAGTTAAGGTAAATCAATTTCCCGAAACTCTTCTCTTACCCCATATGAAGGTGTTATTATTGTTTTGAGCAATTTTTAACAAGTATTCTCTCCTACAAATGCAGCTTGTCATAAAAATTATTGCAGTCATGTCACAATGTACTAGAAAGACGAGCAATGAGCCACTTATTCTCCAATTCCAGTAATCTGTGTCATGTCTTAAGCTTTGTTACAACTCCATCTCCTTGGATTTCACCCGCACCCCCACCCCCACCCATGATCTCATCCAATTAATGAGATTGAAATAATAGCAAATGTCTTTCTGAATCTAAAATTCTAGGGCCCTTCTTCCCCTAAATCATTCCATGTGTAAATTACGTGCTTAGGAAAGCCTGTATTTCAGGAGCTATATTTAGTGCTCAGTTTATTTAAAAAAAAAAAAAAAAAACTGAGTGCGTGGCTGGGGCAAGGCCGGGTGTAGTTCAGCGGCGAGCGGAGCGCCGGGCCAGGTGCAAGAGTCTCGGCGACGTCACGTGTCCCCGGCCAACTATCTTCATATAAAACTCCGCTTATTTGCGCTACTGCGGACCGGAGTCAACTCCAAAGCCACTCAAACCAGCTTTGTACAGGTCTTACATAGTTTGAGCTGCCGGCTTCTGATTTTCACCATAAAACGACCCAGCTGCGTCCAAGGCAGATGTCACCCGCCTTCGGGGGTCTTACAGAATTAGGACTCTGGGTCGGAGCGCAGAGCCCAGGCAGCAGCACACTGCACACACCCCGACTCGGCAGCTCCGACGAGGCTCTCGGCGGCAAGCGGGCGCGGGCGACCTTCCGCTCGCTGTTCTCCCGTCCCGGCGGCACAGCAGCAAAGCAGGGCGGGGAGCCGCGGGCCGCGCGCCGGGGCGGGGACGGTGGCGGCGGAGGCCGCCGCTTCCAGAACGCTCCGCCGCCCCGCAGGCCCCGCCCGCCGGGGCTTCCCCGCCGCCGCGCTCATTTGCATGGCGCGGCCCCGCCCCCGCTGCCATTGGCCGGCGCCGCCCGCCCGCCCGCCGCCCCGCCCGGCCCGCTCCGTCCCCCGGGCCGCGGCGCTGCGGGCAGCGAGCGGACTGTTAAACCGCGGCGGCGGCGGCGGCGGGCGCGGGGCTCGCTCTGAGACAGGCGGCGGCGCCGGGCGGGGAGGCAGGTGGGCGGGCAGCTAGCGACCACCTCAGCGGCGCCCACCACGGCCGGGCCGACGGGGCGGCGGCGGAGGGGAGCCAGGGCGCCCCAGCAGGCGAGTGGCCGGCGGCTCCGCGGCGGGCCGGGCGGTGGGCTCTTCTGCGGGACGGCGGCGGCGCGGGGAGGGGAGCGGAGGCCGCCGGCGACCGGCCGCAGCCGCTGGGCCCGGAGCCCTCGGCGCTGTCGGACTCCGGGTCCCGGCACGGGGTCGCGCCGCAGGGCAGGGGTCGGAAGGCAGCCAAATTTAAACGGCTGAAGCGAACAGCCCTGGCCGGGCGGAGGGGCGGGGCGGGCCGCGGCGCGGTCACGTGGGCGGGAGGGGCTGGGCAGGCCTCCCTTTTGTTTTGGCTGGCGCGTGCGCAGAAGGCGGGACACGTGGTCTGAGCCCGCCTGCCTCGGCGGCCGCGCCTCCAGGCGATGGTGGCGGTGCTGGGCTGGGCGGCCCTGAGGAGCGGCCGCCCGTGTGGGCTGTGCCCTTGTCGTCTTGAGTAGTACTTCGCCGCAGGCTCACGCTGACTTGGCTTTTAGGACCGGATGGGTTGGGGGGATCCAGACTCCTTGGGGAAGGCGTCTCCGGGTCCGGGTGGCGGGGCGCGGAGGGCGCGGGCGGCGCTGCTGGTGTTAGCGGCGGCGCACGGGGCTTCCGGCCGCCGGCCTCGAGGCGCCTGGCGGGGCCGGGCGGGAGCCCGGGAGAGCGCCCTCCTGAGAGGCTGGCGGAGAGGGGGCCGCGCCGCGGGGCACGGGACTGCCGGGGAGCACGGCGTCCGCGGCGGGGGGCTCCCATCCGTGAGCTGGGGCGAAGCCACACAATGGGAGAGTCATGGCCAGGCCGGGCGTGCACGTCCTCCGGGCCCGCGGCCGCTGGCTGCTCTGCCTCCCGGCTCCCAGCCGCGTCCTCAGGTGAGTCGCGGAGGCCGCCCCTTCCGCGCAGCTCCAGCCCGCGATCGCCGTGTCTCCCCCAGCCTTTCTGGGCTCATGTTTTACGTGAAACTTTCCTTAATCCAGGCCAGTCCTAGCACACTGATTTTTTACATATACTTTTTGCGTGTGTGTCGCATGTGCCTTTTCAGATAACAGTTGCTTATCTTGTTAAATAACCTTGTTATAAAATAACTTGGAAAATAAAGATGAGTGGAAAAAAAATCCAAATAATTTGTATTTCTTTCTAAATGTTTTCCTATGCATATTTGTCTTTTTCCTAAGATTGGGATCCTGCGGTATTTTCATTTAACTTTACCTCATAAACATTCCCCTGTCATTAAATAGTCTTTGGAAAAATTACTTTTGGATGCCTAACGTTACATCTGGTAACTCTCATCTTTAGAATTTTTCCTGCTGGCAGATGTTTGAGGCGTTTCTGCTGTTTCGCGAGTGTAAGTTTCACTGCAGAGGTGGCCTTATTCCGTCAAGCTTGGAAAGTGCTTTTCCGGCGCTTTCGTGAGAGGAATGACGAGGTCAGAGTCGGGGCGTTTGGCGCACGTGTTTGTGAGCTTGTGACACCGCGAAAGGAGCATCCCTCCTGTTGTGTCTTGGTTCATCTGGCATTGGCGTTAAGACGGAACCCTTGCTTTCACTGGCATTGAGCTCTGTCGTTCGTGTCTGACGGAGCCGTGTTGTTCTGACTCGCGGTGAGCGCGGGGGGAGAAGGCGCCCTGCGTGGCTGCCGCGCTGCGGGCGCCCGGGGTGGCTGGTGCTGTTGCGGTTTTGCCCTCTGGGAGGTCGGGAGGGTGCCCTGCGTTTCTGTGTGACGCCGGGGTCCGTCGTTGGCAGTGTGCTGCTGTTTGATCCCCTGCTTTGAGCGCGGATCCAAGCGCAGTTGTCTGCTGAGAGGTCGACTCTTCCCGCCGTCCAGCTGCCGCGGCCCTTGTCCAAGAGCGCCAGCCAGTTGTGATGCCATTTAGCACGATAACTTGGACTGTTTCCTTTATTCATTCATCCATCTTGAGTGGAATTCACTTACATTATTCTAGTTTCACTTGCAGCCTTTTCTGTGTTTAAAAAGAAAAAAAAGCCTACGGTCTAAAATTCCCTGCTTCATTATTGAGAGTGTTCGTGCTAGCCCGCTTATTGATGCCTGTAACATCTTTGACTGCCTTTAACCTAATACATAAACCTTATATGTCGTATGTAATTTTTTTCATAATTTTCATTTATTCAATTATTTGTCTCTCCATGTCCTTTTACATTTGTTTATACAGTATTAGATAGTAGTTGAAGGAGGCAGAAAGGTTCAGAATTGTGTTTAGGATTGTTTTTGCCAGTTGGGTTTGCCAAGTTATAAACAGCAAGGAATAGAGCTCCTTGCAACAGAAGTCAAAGCTAATAGGGAATTAGCAAGCCGTTTACTGACTTGAAAGCGTATCGTCTCTTCTGCCTCGGTCCTTAAAGTCTTGACTGCATTACAGGACTATAGTGGAACATTGTACGTAGTGATGACCCTGAGTCATCAATAAAAGCTTACATTACTTTCAGTATGTTTGACTTACAAAGGCGGGGAAAGTGTATCGTTTCCAAAAGGTTTTTTTTTTCCTTTTAAATGTTGTCCTGAAAAGAGACTTCGCTGAACTATGCTCCTTATTCCACGTGGGATAAATAAACAACCAGCCAATGTTAGTAAACATGGTAATATTGTACCAGGCGTGTAGATAGTCCATAATGAAAATCTGAAGACAATTCATAATGAAAGTTTTTAATACTTGATAATATTTTTAGGTTTTTAGAAACACTTTTTATTTTTATGTGGATGTGATATTCTCTAAGTATTACAGAATTGGGAGAAAAATCGTTCATTTATGATACTGAGGCTTTGTTAATATTTTTAGTGAACTTTTTGTTCTTTTCCAGTCCCATGAGAAGAATTCTAAAGCATGTTTTGTAAAGTAATTTTTTTAAAATGTTTTCTTTGCAAAATTTTTTCCTCCGTCTTCTCCCTAAAACCCCCCAGTACGTAGTTGTATATTCTAGTTGTGAGCGCCTCTGGTTGTGCCATGTGGGACACCACCTCAGCATGGCCTGATGAGCAGTGCCATGTCGGTGCCCAGGATCCGAACCAGCGAAACTCTGGGCCACCAAAGCAGAGCGCCCGAACTTAACCACTCGGCCACAGGGCTGGCCCCTAAAGTAATTTTTAAAAATTTTCATTTGGTGGTCAATCATTAACCAGTGTTTAATCACATGAAGTTCACTTGGAACCAGAATGTATAGAGTGAGCAAATGTAATAGTGCACTTCTAATTGTAAATTTCTGAATCCAAGTTTGGTGTACTCAGAAAAAAAATGACTTCATTTATATTCGTATGAATCATGCACTTATAACTGAATAGTAATAATTCTGCTTGAAGTATGATCTGTTTGATGTGCTATGTGGCCACCCAAGTGGTGTTATCTTTAATTAAATTCCTTTAGTCTTCAAAGAGAATTCCTTTTTAGGCATAGTTTTCAAAGTGGAAGAAGTTCTTGCTATAAACACTATTGAATACTAAGTACTGAGCTAACTGTACCCTGGTCGTGCCAGTTACTGCAGTTTTCTGCTATAAATTGAGAAGACCCATAGGGCATTAAGAAATCTTGAAAACACAGCAGTGTATTTCGTATTCATACTTTCTGTAATTCCTATATTTTGGGGGAATAAAATCATACCAGAGTAAACTCTTTTTCAATACTTTTATTGTTTAATTGGATTTTTCCTTTGAGTTAGAAATTAGAAATTTTGAGTCCCCTGTTATTTCAGTAATGTTGGAAAGAGCTTTTCATATTTTGCCAAAAGAATTTGTCTTTCTTTCCTACTCTTTCTCTGACTTATTATAATGGATTGGCTATCTGAAACACATTTGAGTTGTAAGTGTGAAAGTAGTTTAATGTTTGTTCCTACTTCAGGATTCTCCCCTTTCTCAGAAATGCCATTGGTAGTCTTTTCACTTTATTTTAATTTAAGGATGAATCTGCATTCTTTATAATACTTTTATTCCTAGCTTGTGTTACTGTGTTTAAGATAATTCAGATTATCCAGATTCCAGTTGAAAGAGTAAATTTAATGTTCAGGGGTAGATTTGGATAGGATAGTTTTCATGGATTATATATATTCCTGCTAGAATATAAATCATAGTCAAAATCAGAAGTGGTATTTTAGGGGGATGGAAAATCAGATTTGGTTTTTAATTTTTAATGTTCATTCTCAGGAGGAAGGGTGGTTCTTCTTATCTAGATTGTCTAGATTATAGTTTCAACTCTGAAATAGACCAGATTAGCAAACTTTTGATTTTCTTTAGAATGTATGCCAAAAATTGTTATATATGACCTACATATTAATTTGTAAAGACCTGATTACTAAGTGTTGAGATCAATTCAGTAATTATTGACATCATAATTATCTCAATATGTATATGCAGCTTTTGAGGGATGACATGATACTTACTATATCTCATGATGTCCAAGGGATCAGATTGCATTTAATTAATGTTAAGTTCATAAATATGTATGATTTATAAATCTTAAAGATTAAGTCACTAATGGAAACATTTTGGAGACAACAGGACAACACTTTATTTGTAGTAACATCAGAACAGCTAATTTCTTCCTTAATTCACAATGAACATTCCTTGCGTTAAATTGTAGGCCAAAAGTTAGGATTTATGGTATAGACTTAACCTTACAATCCCCCCATTTTTTTTCTGAATTAATTTGATTTTTATATTACAATAATAAAATTTGTTATAACCAAAAAGAAGGAAAAAACTTTTGATTTTCTGTAGTTTTTAAACGTTTATTATTTAAAGGCATAAACTTTGTCTCATCTCACTGAAATTTTCTTTCTCACTATTTTTTATGAGACTTCAAAGAAAAGTGGATATATATTGAGATCTGAACTGTTCACTGTAGGGTTATTTATTTGGTGGATTATCTGTAACAGTTTTACGACATCTGTGTTTGTTTTTTTGCCACCCCAAACATTTCTGGGCTGCTAAAGTGCTATGGAATTATTATTATTTATTTATTTGGAGTTAAACTGGAATGTAATTTGAAAACCCTGTAGTAAAAACTTTAGTAAAAGTGAAAA